GACATCTATAGAACATTTCACCCTAATAAAACTGAGTACACATTTTATTCATCAGCCCATGGAACATACTTCAAAATAGACCACATCCTAGGTCACAAGTCTAACCTCAGCAAATTTAAAAGAATAGAAATTATCCCTTGCATCTTCTTAGACCACCACAGAATAAAAGTTTAACTCAGAAACAACAGGAGCTTGCAGACTCAAACAAAATCATGGAAGCTAAATAACCTTATGCTCAATGACATTTGGGTCAAAGACGAGATCAAGAAGGAAATTACCAAATTCTTGGAATTAAACAACAATGAAGAGATGAGTTATCAGAACCTCTGGGATACCGCAAAGGCAGTCCTAAGAGGGAAATTTATTGCACTGTAAGCCTTCCTCAAGAAAACAGAAAGAGAAGAAGTTAACAACTTAATGGGACACCTCAAGCAACTGGAAAAGGAAGAACACTCCAACCCAAAACCCAGAAGAAGAAAAGAAATAACCAAAATTAGAGCAGAATTAAATGAAATTGAAAACAAAAAGATTATACATCAGATTAACAAATCAAAAAGTTGGTTTTCTGAAAAGGTAAATGAAATAGATAAACCTTTGGCCAACCTAACCAAGAAAAAAAGAATAAAATCTCTAATTTCTTCAATTAGAAATGGTAAAGATGAAATTCAAGAAACCCTCCATGAATTTAAGAAACCCTCCATGAATACTATATTCTCAGAAATATGAAAACCTGAGGGAAATTGACCAATACTTGGAAGCACACCACCTTCACGTGCTTAATCAGACTTAATCAGAGCCAAGTGGAAATGTTGAACAGGCCCATATCAAGCTCTGAAATAGTAGCAACTATACAAAATCTCCCTAAAAAGAAAAGCCCGGGACCAGATGGCTTCACGTCAGAATTCTACCTAACTTTTAAAGAAGAGCTAATACCTATACTATTTAACCTTTTCCAAAACATAGAAAAAGATGGAATATTGCCCAACACATTCTATGAAGCAAACATCACCTTGATCCCCAAACCAGGTAAAGATCCAACAAGAAAAGAAAATTATAGACCAATATCTCTAATGAATATTGATG